TCAAAAACAGCATGGAGTGAGTGTGCTGCACCAATCATATCATCCGACCGCTGCGTAGCCGCCGACAGGCTTAATGATGTCGCGTCTATTGCAATCGACTTAGGCTTGTGCTGCCAATTCTTTACGTACGTCTAGTCTTATACTAGGTCTTTAGTTAAATCTCTAAATATTTAGTGACGATAAATGTGACAATGTATACAAAGATGAAGGAGGGGAAGGACTATGGTATCCCGGCCTCAAGGAAGTATCTGCTACCTTCAGAGAGCAGGTGGGCAGTTACATGTGCAGAAATGGGACTACTTCATCAATCTGTCCAGGGGCAGGTGCTGGGAACCTAGTTGCTTCTGAAAATGCGGCTACTCCCACTGCCAACTAGTACTCAAATTGTCTAAGGTTGAATAAGTAGCCTTTCTACAAGCATAGCGCTGCTAAATTCTTCTTAAGTAGTATCAAAATATAGCCATCATCCTAATGCTTGTTCGACATTGGTGCGTATTGTACATAAACACTTTATAACTTACTAGAAGCAATAACCTTACTGTCGTTGACTGTGGCCTGCATGCTATCCCATGTCTCGACACTCCCAGAGTAACATCTTCAAGATGCGTCTCTAAGTATAGCGAAATACTATGTCGCGAGACAGGTTCAAGCTTCAGAGATCCGGAAATGCTGCCTATCGTACTTGGAAGGGCACTTAAAAAGCTTAAAGATTCTCCAGTGACCATTAATCAAGTCGAGTCATCTCTGATATGGATTGCTGCGTTGTTAGACCTGGTCATTGTCGCACTCTTTGGCGCGTGATGACAACTGTGTGTTGGATTCATTCATGATCATCTGCATCGGCTCAACTAGTTGGTTGGATAGTTAAATAGCTGTTGACTCTCCATCCAATACAATATTGTTGCACCCTGCGTTGTCTTTGGTATAGCGCTCCTTCATCCCAGCCCCTTATACTTTAGCCCAGCGATGTAAACTGATGTTTCTCATCAGCAACCCACTGTTAAGATTTCAATAACACACACAGCCACAGATCGCACTAAATAAACTATAAACTAATAAACAACATCAGACTATAACCTATATACCATTTTTGCAGAAGGATTCGGGATTCCGTAAACCAAAGATAGCTTGCATACCCGCTCTACTCTATCATAGTACCATTTAGTCCGCTTAGCCTCAATCTCCGCTAGCTTTCTAACCTCTTATAATTCTAAATAACAAAATTGACTCCGTTTACATCCATATCCAAGTCCTCGAATTAACTTTATATGTACGATTAGAAACTGCCGCCCGTTCCTAACTCTAGGAAGCGTAAGTGAGATTTTTGCAGCTTGTTTGAATCTGTACGTTGTGCCGATATGGCACCTACTTTTCGCAGTCTAAGGCGCTGGATTGCCCGACTAGAAAGTATGCAGAGACATCATATTAGGTATATGAGTCAAACTAGCTTCGTTTGAGAATTTGTCCTGCCCGGGACGATACGAGTGGCCCGGAAGTAAATTTGCTGCTTTCTACGGCGGAGCACAAGAGTTTCTAGTTGGGAAGTAGCAAGGGTCTTGATTCTAATACTGTTACTATTTTGCGTATAGAATTGCATTGTGATATTGAGACTTTGAGATTTGCGCCAACAGCAAGTAGTGGTTGAAAGTTTCGATGTTGGATTAGGCACTTGCTGACGGAAGATGTGGGTTAGGTCTCGAGTACAGTGACAGAGCTTCAATGTACTATACTTATGACGCCGGACGCGTCAACTATGCTTAGTATAAGAGACAGTGCGGTTTAAGAGAATTGTAAACTCCCCAGTTAATTCCTTCCATGTTAAGTCCTTGCTAGTATGCTCAACTACAACCGGCATATAGAACGAATAAATGGAGAAACAACACACCAGACCAATGCCTCTAAAAGCAGTCATTTCGGCTATTACTTCTACATATCCGAGAACCCGAGAACCCGAGGACCCTTTCTCCATCTTTCTCCGCTTCGATGCTTATGTAATGCGCCAGTTGCGCCCAACTAATCATAACGCATCCCGAGAAACTATGTCTCGACACGAATTTCCCAAAAAAGACTACCACAAAGGCCAAGATTCCTAAAAATAATTCCAAAATATGGTCTCGATACGAAATGATCTACAGAGTTCAACAGCTTTAGTTCAAGTTACTCAAACGAGGCATGTGGTGAGCATGTTGTTTGCTAGATGAGATCGCCTATTGCTTCCGCGGCGCAGGTCTGAGGATCTCGGCTGGAACTGGCGCTAACACTTGTGATCGAGACGTGGATAAAAATAACGTGGCGTCACAAACGCTTATCTTATTACACCCCTTTTGACGGGGCAAGCTCTCGCGAAGAACTATAAAAACTCGGACGTGATCCAGTATACACAGCAGAGAAGCTCAAGAGCTTGGAGAAGATGTATTTCACTTCCATGTTGATAGAGTTGCACGGGTTATGAGTTGAGACATATGTACGCGCTAGCCCCAGTTTTCACGGGTTGCGCCTTCGGGCCGCAGATGCCACGTAAGCACGATCCCCGAAAAGCAATGTTATCACCGACCCACAATGAATGTCATATCCAGAGACAGAGTCCGCGGACTTGCGTCCATAGGTTCTTGTAGTATCTTGTGTCGTTATTGGTTATCAGCTCAAACTGTTGAGTCAACAAGCCGCCCATCAATGTCCCAGGTATTGAAACAAAAAGCACTTCCTCCGGGATATTGTGAGCTCAAGTCTGTGGATGAACACTCGAGAAAGCAATTCTATGGCTATGTTTTGAGCTCAGTCACACATATATGAGCCCAACTGCATCAGTTTAAGCTATGTCGCTTCTTGGTCACTTTTACACAACAGCTACATCAAGCCAAACTTCACCTTATAATGACAATGATGATCTCCATCGAGAACGGCCAACAAATCAGCATTATAGTGACATCCTTTATCTCTATCTTATTATCCATTGTCTCTGTAGGTCTGCGCCTTGTCGCCAGAAGCATCGGGCACAAAATCGATTATAGTGATTATTGCATTATCGCAGCCTTAGTAGGTCAAACATCCATAAAGAAACCATATCTGTTTTAATAAGTCTACTAGTTTTGTAACACTGCACTGCACGCTTGTTGCATCTCACTAGTTACACATGGCGGCTTTGGATTTCATATCGCGGAGATCTACCAACGCTTTGGGCCTGAGACGGCAACCCTTTTCTTCAAGGTGAACCCAATAAGTGGCCTTTCCTTACTTCGCAACCTCTGACTGCCTTTTCGCTGTACATAGGGAATCATGTCTTTTTCAATTCTGTGGAATGCCACTGTGTGTTTCAGCAAATTGTCAGTTCTATTGATGTATCCAACACTGATACCCACATTGTCAATGTTGAAGCGGACCCGTGTTCTCGGCGCTTTGATCATAACGTGGAACATGGCTGACTTTATTGCTGTTTTGTTGATATGCCGACCGCTCGCGAAGAATTGGGACTTGGGGTTACCAGGGACTTGCGGTAATCAACCAGCGTTTTATTTCGCAATGGGGTTCGTCAACCTCCTTATGGATGCTGTAATTATCGTGCTACCAATGCCATATCTTTACAATTTGCGACTGGCTTGGCACGAGAAGTTAGCCGCGATGGCCTTGCTTAGTGTTGGAGCAGGGTGAGTGCGCGCTGTTGCCCAGCTCTTCTTCTATCATTAGTGCTAACATCTAGGGCAGAACTTGGGCCATTACTATTTACCGACAAACACTACTACCTAGTTTGGACTTCACGGATATGACGTACAGCGGTGTGCTCGCCACAAACCTTTCGGGCCTTGAGCCTGCGGTCGCGATCGCTCTGGCATGCATTCCCCACATGCGCCCTTTGTTCAGGAAGTCAAGGAGGACTACCCACTCTAGCTACCAGTGCGGCAGTAGCAGGCAAATTAGTCTTTTCCCAAAGAAAAGAAGCGAACTTCATAGTATCGACCCCACAGCTCCGTTCCCGAGATTGGTGGACAACAACGATGCTTCCTCGCAAGCTGAGCTGCAACCTATCAACCCTTCGCACATGGTTCGTGTCTCATCTGTTTACAAGCACTAAAAAGCAGCAGGCACTAGCTAGTCTCAACCATGCTATCGCAATTAGGTGCAATTGGGGAGTAAGCAGAGACTGATCGAGGAGAAATGGAAAGATTGTAAACAAGGGGCAGCCCTGACATTGCAACGTCAAAGCACACTTATCGATAGATTAGATGGCAAGAGCCAGTGGCACACCGATCAAGATTTCTTCCAGCTGCGTCCGTGTCCCCCTGAAGAACGCAAGCGTTCAGCGCATCCGTAAACGGTTGAGAGTATGCAAGTACTGTGGGGGCTTTTAATGAAGCTTTTTGAAGCTGGGAATAGGTAGTCAGGAAGAGTGGCATAAGATGACGCTTCGTAGTGAGCCAGAATCCACGCAAGACCAAGATTACGACGACAACAGAAGCAGAAGAAGGCTACGCGGTGCTACATCTCTATCTACTTAATCGTCGGGGCGGCCCTCCATCACACGCTGAATCCATTATTCACAAAGAAAACGTGGTGGAAGAGAGACGGAATCGGATTCAGGTGGAGTTTGTGTACCTGCAGTAAACATTTGTAGCAGTATCACACAATTTCTATCATGGCTGACGCGTAAAATGAGTAAAATCTTATTAGGACGCATTGTACCCAACTCTACCTATAAGCTTACCTATGACCCCGTCCAGAGCATTCTTCTCAGAATGTTGAAGCCTGTCCGGCGCACTAGTATACTCTCGATTATTCTGTGCATCGTATGCAACGATCATAAAGTGATCACAGTCCTGAACGATCTTCTCTATGTGTTCTGGAAGCTAGAGTAGAGCTGATTTGATGCCCGCCGCCGCCAGGAAGTCGCCGGCCTTTTCTCAGCGCTGACTCTCGTTATCCTGTTGCAGACTATCAGTACTAATTCTTAGCTTTGCTCAGACTAAGGGCTTATACTAACTCAAGGTTCCTTATTGCAATGTCTTATATAAGCTTACAATCTTCGGTCGCGGGTGTCAGAGTACTCTGGTGATGACTGAGGACAATATCCCGTATGCGCTTGAGGGACATTCGGATCTTTTCCTCTTGCTTCAACATACAGTTTATCTCTTCCAGCGTAGGAACCGATTGGTAGGTAATGCCTATGCATTCGTTTTCATGTGTTCGTTGTCTGTAGAATTGAGAGAACTCAGCGATGAGCTCAGAATTGTCTAATATCTAGCAGAGTTAACTTCGTTGCGAGGGAAGGTAGAGTTTTCTATACCTCATTGAGCTGAGTATAAAGCTCAGAGTTTCTCAAAGGCTGATTAAAAAATCCAGCATAGCGTGCAAGAGTCGAGTCATTCATCTTAACATCTAATGAACAAGAAACCTACGAATGGTCACGCTATAAAGAGGATAGTAAGGAAGGGTGAATTGTATTACTGCCAGAGGCAGACACGAACATATGGCAGGGTAATGCTGGATGAGGCAGACTGAGGCATTCTAAATAGCATATGAGGACGAGAAAGGCTCAAGCTCTTGGTGCAATGTAGACTAATCGGGTACACTTCAGTGTAGCCCTACAGGGGTAGCCCAGGAAGCGGAACCAAGAGGACGCCAAGGGTGATAATGAAACTTTAGGGATGTCTAACCGGACAAATAGGAAACAGAAGATCTTGCCGATAAGAAAAGCTCTTTTGCGCATCAATTCTGATTCGTGGCTTCATTTGTTGATCTTAAGAAGGGGCTCATAATACACCAGCTCGCCAAATTAGCGCTGCATGTATGTAACGAGCGGTACTGCGCAGGTAGAGCTAGTCGCCGAGGTGATGCGCGCTAGCGTGATCTATCACAGTCAAGCCTCCCATTGCCGTGTTCATGACAGGTCCTGCCTAGCACTCGCTTTTAGGTTGTCGCGGACCGAAATCGCTCAGGCTATTAGTGGCGACCTGACACAACCTCATCTCTGCGCGGCTCTAGTGGGGCAGAAGGTGATGATCATTGCCGGGTGAAGACCAGGTGATCTGGTCACACCAAAACAGGTCATTCCTTGGCGGGATGCTATGGCCCTGAGACATTGAGGACAAAGGATGAAATAATTCCATTATCACACTCGTTGTGATCATCTCTAGTTGTGCTTTCTTACAAGCTCTTTTCCTGACAGAATTATTACTCGTTAGTCTGTTACAATGTAGATTGGTGTCGCAATGTATGCAAGGCCGCAGAAGCAATGACTCCAGCTGACCCGAAGCAGCAGGCCACCACCTCAACAAGAAAAAGCAATACATAACTATACACCACAGATAAACGAGGATAGTAGATGCTTAACACACCCCACACCTAGATGCGCGATATTATGTAATGCGTTATTTACGCTCGGCCAATTATAATGCAGTCCAAAAAACTGCATTTCGACACGAACTTCCTAAAAAAAGACTGCCACGAGGGTCACAGTCCCTGACATTGGTGCTAGAACGTGACCTCGATACGAAACTAGCTTTGACCTGAGGTATTCTCTTCGAGTGGCCAAGAATCGTACATAATTTGTCCCTGGCGAGTCCTCCTCCGCGGCACCATACTATGAGTGACGTCTATCACTGCTGATGCTAGAACTGTGGCTGAGTAGCTATGTGGCTGTGCGGCTGTGCGGCGCTCCGCTAAGCACTCCAGGTGTCAGATTATTAGGGGTTATCAAGGACAGTGAAATGTGATAAATGTTTGTGATAAAGATGGATTGATTGATCGTTCTCTGATTCTGCTTGAGTGTGTCTGATCGTATTGATTTTTCTCTGATCTCTGATCTGATTCAGCGGCGCGCAGGCGCGCCGCCTTATGAGCGCTATTGCTGTTGTTTTTTCTGTCTCAGGTGGAAGCTGAGTATCAGCCTCGCCTAGGGTAGGCCTTGGCGCTCAGCTCTGATTGGCTGGGATCATAGGATCCGGGTGCTCAATCACACCCCGATCCTGACACCAGGACACTCGAAACCAGCTTAAATTGGGGAAAGTGCGAAGTAGGTTTGAAATATCCCCCAAAGTATTTGGCTTGCAATAACATACGCACTAAGCGCGGCATAGTTACATCTCGAGATTAATTAGTTAGATGCTTGTTTAGCTGAATCAAGCTTTGGCATTTTCATTACCATTCGCTACGTCATCCTTTTGCAAGAACTAGTCATAAGAAGCTGTTAGCGCTGCACCCTCAAGTCTGCTGACTACAACCATAAACTGCACAATATCATCCTCACAGCACGTCTTTCACGTACCAGTTTCCACTCGCGCCCCATTGTCTTCCTACCTCTCAAGGTGCTTGCCATAAATGGAGAGCAGCAACGGCCTTGGTGCCAAAGTAGCCATCCCTCGGCTCAAGCGGCCTAACCAGCAGACTGTTCTTCTAAAGCCTCCCCGTATCAGTTCCGGGAGGGTTGATAAGGCAGTAAGTATCCTAGTTGCATGAATCAGCATAATGAAGCTGAAAAAAATGTGTAGTGCAATAGATGCCGTAAGCACAGTATGCATAATATCGGATTCCGCTCTTATAATCGCGCCTACTGGTTGCTTCTCGTGGACATATTGTGCGAGCTAACATACGCAGAATTGAAATGCTCTGGCACTAGGCCGCGCTGCATCAACTGCACAAAGTATAACAAAGATTGCATCTACCATCTATCACGCCGGGACCGGCTAAGAGAGTGAGTTGACTTGAGTAGCTCTTAAGCACGCTTCTAACTTGAATAGGGCTAC